TCAGTTAAAATAAAAAAAATAAATAAAAAAAAAACACTGCAGGTGTTGTTGGGGTGTTGCTGTTTATCAGTCCATCCTCTGTATCCTCATCTGTTGAGGACAGCTGTCATTAACTTATGGCAAATGGCATCACACTGAATGGTATTAGGTGTTGCAGCCATGACGTTCAGTATATCAGCATGAAAGTATTGCTGGAGGACTTTGAGGACGTCCCTGAAGGCAGTTTGTTGTTCATCACAACAACAAGCACAGAACAGGAACAGAGTAGTACAGTACAGGGCAGTACCAACCACTGATAATTAATTTGTTCATGAAGACAATGGCAGCTGCTGTAAAAGAATTTCCATACCTACTTGTTCTAGACACTGCCCAAAAAGGGACAAACTAATCTTCTGATACCTTTGCAGTTTCGATATGAAACAAGTTTACACTGGTACATACTCTTCCCAGGAAATAGCCATATGCTGCACTCCAAACCTCTGGGCTTCTCCCTCCTGCTGGGCGTATACATGATACCAAACTAACTGCCAGCCACATAAATGGAAGTATATACAATCTTAAATACTGTTACAAACTCACGAGTACTTAATGACAACATGTAGCTTGCTTTAAGCAGAGCAGTAGCTGACTGACTGCCACATGTTTTAGCCTCAGGGCTTACCGTAGTTGTATGCGCTCGCTGCTTGTAACTGTTTTGCATTTTGATTGAAATACTTACATTGTCCCCAGATTAGATTGATTATTATTTATTCTACTGCCATGATTCAACACATGATTTGGGAGAATTTAGTTTATTTACTCACATGTCGCATCAACACAATTATCACAGAAAGTCTAGTAAAAACAAGTCTTGATATAATAAGTTCTCAGCTTTATGTATCATACAGCTTAATATGTTATCATGTGTTGCATATCCTAATGTTTCCTGTACTCTGTCGGCCTGAAAGGTGCACAATAGGCAATCCTCAAAACTGGAAATACTCAATAAAAGAGATCCGGTAAATACTGACAGAAAAAAACACTTCCTGGCACTAATGTGTAGTCTACATCCTGATATCTGAGGCCTGATGTAAGCAGCTGACACTCACAACAAGTCCTGGACTGGACAGACTGGACCTTGCAAATATGTAACCTCAAATAAATACAGGCAAGTTCAAGGTTGTGTCAGTGATTTTAGTATCTTACTGCACATCTTACGTAATGCTATAAGTAATTATTACATCTGTTTCCAAGTATTTCATCCATGTATACCAAAATGTGCAAAGCAAAAATTATGGAATAGCTTTGCCAGACTATCCCAAACCAATAAATCATCATATAAAAAAAATTCAGACTGATTCAACTAAAAAAGAGTAACAGATTCTTCAGGAAACACATGTCATCATAATTGTAGGGAGTGTTGGAAAGCATCTGTCGGTTGGAAGTTTCTAGTGATTTCCTTCCAATGTCCAAACAGATGAAACCTTATGTTATGAATATGTGCGTTTGTCTTCAGACCAGAATGTAGGTGTATATACAAGAGGTAGATTAACCAGAGCAGCTCTGTGTCTAAGAATATGTGTCTGTGTGAGCGTCAGAGAGGCTGTGATTCACTGTTTAACCCTCTCCGTCACTTCTCCTCAACCTGAACTATACACACATACACAAACACAGAAGCATAGCATAGAATACATAGTGCCTTGGCCTTGATCTGTGTGTCTGTGTGTGTGTGTGTGTGTGTGTGTGTGTGTGTGTGTGTGTGTGTGTGTGATAGTCATGGAAGAACTATACAGAACTTAAAATTACAAATATTACAAACAAGTCTTGCTTTCATAATTTTCCTTAAAACTATTCCCGTCATATATTTGTATTAAAGGATCAAATGGTTATGTCATATGATTTTTTTTTCCTCTCAGCTAATTATTTTGTTTGTTCCCCCTCAACTTTGGTTGACTCTCACTGCTCTCATCAGCATTATTTCTAGACGTAGCAGGAAGCTGTTTTCAGGAGAACAGTCCTAACAAATCCACAATACACTATTTGGCCTGAATCAAATGTCAGCAAGACAAAGTTTGCAACTAGCTGTTGAACATCGTGGAGTATCTAGCAGCTTTAAAGCCTGATATCTCCCTCAGGAGTTGGGTTGAGACTAAAAACAGAGCTGACAGGAGATTGAATTGGACATATATTTGTCAGGAGGAAACAAACACGACTCCAAATGAATGTTACTCGTGTCTGCTGGATATGTTATGTTAAGAAGTGTTTGCTTAACACATATAACAACTTTATAAGGTGACAATATGTCAGGGCTGCGTTTACGACTTGTTGGACAGCGCCAAGTGGCAAAAATCCTTTTTCTGATGCAGGTTTTTAGTAAAAAGTAGTATTAAGTATTATCGACAAAATCTACTAATAGCACTAATTACACATTAGATTGCGTCAATGTCAATAATATCTTTTATAGCTGGATATTTATAATTGATGCTTCAATACATGAGCAGCATCTTAATGTTTGACTTGTGAAGTTGGGACTAACATTAACTATTTTACGTGGTGTTAAGTAGTTCAGTATACTGTACAATGCATCATGTTTCATTTTACTTGTTGGTTTTTATCATTTCAGTCTGCAAAGTAAGTAGTTATCATTTATCAAAGTGTGTGTGTGTGTGTGTGTGTGTGTGTGTGTGTGATGTCTCCTAGACTTGCATACTGACCCCGACACTGCTCTTATTGGCCGTTTCTCTTCCTTGCATCTGCTGGATCAGCTCTACATGTCAGTCTGGCAGGGAAAGAAAGGATTTTCTCTCTCTCTCTCTCCCACACCCGCTGTCTCTCTCTCTCGCCTCATTCCCACAGCAGAAGCACAAAAGGTTTACACATTCATAAACATTATGCTATGTACGTGTATGTTGTGCGTCATGGAAGGAGCCTTGCCCCGTGTGTTATGTATATGAATGAATGGCTCTTACATGGGGAATGGCTCCTCCCCAGGAAACCCATGACTGTACTTTCCAGAAATAGAGGATGACTTGCTTAAAGTGGAACTAATGCATCAGTGACGAGTTTCCAGCAGGGCTCAATATGATGGCGACCGCGTTGTACCTCCTGCAGGCAGGACTGCGCGTAGCTGAACCTGTTCTCTAAGACTTGTATGCACGCGGTTCAGCAAACTGGCACAATCGATTTCCCACGCTACACTGTACATGCAGCAGATTCAGATGTGCATGTACACACAAACACAAATGCACCTAACACGCATAGGCAGAGCAGCAGTGAAAGGTGTAGGCGGTGTGACGCAAGCGGTATGAGTCACTCTGACACAAAGCCTGAGCTCCAACACACACCATTGTCATAGTATTACCTCTCCAACAGGTTGTATGGCTTGCTGCAATGACCAGAGGTGAGGACACAGATACAACCTTGAAATCACCAACTGTAGACTGTCTTCAGTACATACTTCCTCTGAATACAGGGGCCCAGCAATGAAGATTAATCACTTTTTTTTTCCCTTTTTCTTTTAAACTCTGAGATATGATGGTGATGATGTACAAAGCTGTAACTATAGCAACACAAACCTGTCATCCAAGAGAAGCACCCCCACCATATGCCCATGTTGCATTTTCAGTGTTTCAGTGTTTCCAAAACCACAGAAATAGGACAGCAGAGCAAAGTCCAGAAAGAGGATAAACAATCTACCTGTTTTTAAAATCATTTGTATTATTTAAGTATAATGTCATCAACATTATGATGTCATTCCCCATGAATCCACCACCACAACCTGCTACCACCTGTGTAGGGTCACAAATTGAAAATGTGTGTGACTGTTAAAGATTAACTATAAAGATTTGTGTCACAACAAGTCCAGTCAGATACGGTTTATTCATGTAACTCGGTCTCACATAGAAATGTTTCAAAGGTCGTTACATGTCCACATGAGCAACGCTTTCGGGCCAGGCCCAATTTGATCAGGGAGAGGAGAAACTCTTGCTGCTCTACCAACCTCCTCCACAAGAGGGAGTAAAATCTGCTCTCTGCCTCTATCTCGGAGAGCCGCCAAATGCATACCAAACTGTTGCCCAATCCCGTTTGTCACATCAGTGGAAAAAAAAAAAAAAAAAGGACAAACTTGATAGTACATTGCAGCACTTTCCAAGCATATGGAGGGCTTATTTGAATACAGACAAAGACAGCAGCCTTGCCTGATAATTCATGGTGAATTACCCACTCCTTCACTTTGCTCCACACAGGAAACACAAAGCTGTAAAGTTATACAATTGTGAGTGTTGCCAAGATGCAGTTATGGGGTTTTCTATTTGTGCAATTAGTATGGAATAAGGCATTAACACTGGGTAATGTTAGAGAATAATTGCCCCCTCAAACTGCTTGCAGACTTTGTTAGCAAATACTACAGGAGCTTTGGATTACTCTCTCTCTCTCTCTCTCTCTCTCACACACACACACACACACACTCACACAACCCAGATGGGAGACAGATGTTTAATAGACAAGGTCAAAGAGTCCATACTGTAATTGTCTGCTCCACCATTTCTCAGTATTCTCGGCATTGTTCAGATCACCACATCCACATAAATCCAGGAAATTTCCTCTAGAATGGAAACCATGTCCTATTCTCACAGACTTGTTTGTGTTTTCTTTCTTTCTCTCACACACATATGCGCATGCACGCACACACGCACGCACACACACTGCAGTTCTGCTCTTGTGGCACATTCAACAGATTTAGACTCTCCTCCCCTCATATAAGGCAACCGTTGCTGTGGTAGTAGCCATCCAAGATCTCGCTCCACTTTATTTTTCTCTCACTCTGACTCACTGTTTCTCCTCCTTTCTGGATGTTTCTGTGTACGCACAGAAAATGCTGATGATGACTGACTAATACAAGTAGCAGCAGATAGATGATGAAACATAAGGAGAGGAGGAGAAGTTTGTAATCTCATTATCCCTGCCTAAACTAATCCACCGGGAACGACACCTCCCAAGTCATACATACCCCTGCCACATGTTGTATGATACACGCAGATATATGACCGTATATGCATGGTAATCAGGTGAGCCGTAACAATAAACCAAAAAGATGTCGGATATGCAGGATACAATGCTGCTGGGATCAGAGGGAATCAAGAAAACGATCCTGCACGGAGGAACCGGAGAAATCCCAAAATTCATCACAGGAGCGAAGGTACTCTAGGCCTCCACTACGTTAGACACTTTAGATAAATCCAGAGAGCCACTGATGGGTATCCACCTAAATATGTCTTTACTTGCACTTAGGCTTTCAAACAACTTAGCTGTCATCCAGTACAGACTAGGCTGTGTGGGCTCACAGCTATTTCACTGCACTGAACCATATTTCAGATAAATAGTAGCTACAGTACAGTATGTATGTTTTGGACAAATGAAACAGGATGAATTAAAATGTGACTCACAAAGCTTGTTACTCTATTTTAAATCTAATTAGAGATATGAATGAAACTCAGCATACGCGCTTAATTATCATACTGTGCACAGCATCATATGACCATGTAGAGACAAAGCAGAACAGTTGGACCATAGTAAAACTGTTGCAAGGCATCAAAGAAAGAATAGATAATGTCCAAACGAAGGCTCTGTTTTACCAAACTGCGATCAGACCAGCTATTTGCACATTAAGCTAAAGAGCTGTGTTGTAAGGACACTTCTTCATAGGCACTAGATTCATAGTAAAGGAGAAGTAAGAGAAACTGTTATTGGCCTGTATGACCACAATTTGTAAAGGTTTGAAAGGGATTGTTGATAAATACGGACGGCCTCATTATTTGTGATTTATGGATTTTATTTTCCTGACTTGTTGCCAATTTTAAGCCAACGCAGTTCAACAGGATGAGTGAGGGGAGGCAGGTTTATGTTGTTACGATTCCCACTTGCAGCCAGTAGAGGTAGATAGAGCACATATATCACTCACTGCCCCTTTAATGTTATTTTAATCCAATACACTTTTAATAACCAGCTGCACCAGGTTTGACAAAATTAGTCTAACATAAAAAAAAGCTGTTATACAATATGTGTTTCTTATATGTTAAATGAGTGTGTGGCATTGTTATATTCCTATTTATATCTATAGCTGTTCTATCAACCTGTGTAGCTTATTGACCCTGTTTTACGGTTTCTGTATTTTTTTTTTCTGCACCTCAAGTTATTTCCCTAATAGTGTTTACAACTGATGACCCACAAGTCATTAAGGGAACGACATCATCCTAGGTTCATAAAATCATTCTTGACTTTTGCTGGTACTTTACATGAGGGCACTGACAAATTGAAACATGGAAGAAGATCATGAAAGCCACAGTTGACCACAGTGTACACTCAGTTCTGCTAAATGGTTTCACTTTCTTTGGATGTTATACAACCATGCAACCTTGGCATGTCTGTCCTTCCGCATGTCTGTCTGCCCTGTTGAATAACTGAGCTGTGTGAAGCTTGTGACATAACATTTTTTTTGAGACTGATGCTCAGTTGTGTTTGGGGGGGCCCAGTTTTAACAAAACATGTTATCTTTGCCTGTCAGTGAGTTTTGATTTGTGACAACTCGTGCCATTTCATCTGATGCTATTTCTGATCACCTGCACTTCAAGTCCCAACTACTTGGTCTTTCTTTTAGTTATGTCACATAAGCTGCTGTGTTACCTGGAAGAGCCGATGTCTATTTTTAAACCTGACATAAGACTTTCATTATGATTAACTTTCCCTACTTTTGTCAACATTGTACACAAGCTTCATGTAGTTCCTTCTTCTTTTCTCCAGGTGACGTTCCACTTCCGCACCCAGCTGTGTGATGATGAACGCACAGTGATAGATGACAGCAAAGTGGTGGGGACACCCATGGAGATTGTTATCGGCAACATGTTTAAACTGGACATCTGGGAGACCCTGTTGTCCTCCATGAGGATCGGTGAGGTGGCTGAGTTCTGGTGTGACACCACTGTGAGTCCTACAGAAAAAGTTCTTTTTTTATGTTTCCTTTTCTTTTTTTGATTGTTTTTGAAGCACAGTGGTTTATAGTGTGTTAGTACAAGTGTGACTGTGCACTTTGGACAGAGTGCCATCATACTGCAGATGTTGAAGACTCTGCTTTCAATAACAATGCACAAATCAGCACGAGTATCATCTGCTCCAATTATAAATGTAAAGCCTAAACATAAAGCATAAGCATGTACTGCACTATCCTTGATAACACCCATGGTCATGAAATATAAAATCAACACTGCCAGATAATAGAAACACATCACTAACAGGCTGCTCAGGGTGAACAGATAACAGAATGGGAGCTCACAACTTTTTCAAAACTGGATCAACAGAAGACATGAACTAGAAACACTTACATAATAATATATGTGATTTATGACAAATAGTCATGTATTAAAAACACTATGCCTCACTTTCATTTTCTTTGGGAGTAATGTTTTGACTTTATGGATGTTGTTTCTGTGTGACCTTCCTGCTCATACAGATATCTGGCACATAAACATATATGCCCCTGTACAGGTGTTATGAAGCAAACATACCTCCTCTGGATATGTGTTGATGTACGTCTTTCTTATGTAATCTATAATTTGTTGTGTCCTGTGGTGTGTGTGTGGCGCACTGTCAGAGACAGATGCATTGAGGCATACTGTCATTAATCTGCAGCGGCCTCACTTTCCCCTAATCGGCTCTGATTCCTGCTGAATCAGCACAACCGACTCCCCTCCACTCTGATTAGATGTGATTGGGCTTAGAGCGTTTATTCACTCCTCTGAACAACATGGCTGCTCCGCACCCTCCACTGGATATGTTCTGCAGCAGCATTCCCATCCAGTGGAGGGCAACCTCAACCTGTTGAACTGAGGAAACAGACTACTAATGTGAAACAACTCAAAACTGCGTTTAAATTACAATCCATCTTAGATCAGTTCCATCTAAAATTAACCACATTTCATGTGAATGGTATGTGTAAGTAAAGGAATATGGTCATTACGCCACATCAACAAAATTAAGTCTGTGCATAAGAAGAATTTTTCTCATTTTCCAATGCTCTTAGTGGATGCTGCAGTTGTATTTGTTGTTACTGATCACCAGATAAACATATTTGGATGCGTGATAATCACTAAGATTATTTTTTTAGGTTTATAAATTGAGCATTAGAGAGGGGACAGGTAATAATAAGTATTAATTTCCTCCTGCCTTTTTCGGACATGAGGTATTTGTTGGTGTGTTTACTTAGAATTCATTACTTATGTCAAATTCTATTGGTTATTGTTGTTTGCTTTCTTTATTTTGCTTTCTTTTCCATACATATTTTGAAATAAAATCTATAAAAAGCAATGCCATCTTAAAGACCTCCTCCCATGAAAATCAAGTTTTTAACCTTATCAACATGTCCATATGATGTTTTTTACATAATAAAAGACATATCATTAGCGAAATAAGCAGTTGCGGCCAAAATAAATGTGAAACCTTGTTAGTACAGAGAGCGAGAGTTTGCATTCGCACAACCACTAACACTGTGGTTGTGTCCAACATCACTCACTCATTCACTACTCCCTGCTCACTATCCAGGGAGTTCTATGTAGAGGACTATACAGTGAGCTCATCGGTACAATGAGAAAACACTTTCACACAGTACTCTGGTCATTTTCTCTGTACCGTTGTATTGTCTTTCAGCACAAGCGCAATGCATGATGGTATATATTGCTTCGGTTGTGCACTTTTCATGATGCATTGAGGGATACTATGAAACCACAACAAAATGGCGAACTCACTATATAGTAGACTATAGAGGGAGTAGCGAGAGATTTCGGGCCACTGCCAGTTGCGAGCAACTAAACAGCATAAACAAAATAAAAGATGCGAACCATTCCGATGTGTCTGCTACTCGCCGATTTTGGTGCACATCAAACTCCTCATCTGAGTCTGGGTCTGACTGAGGCTCAAACACTTCTCTATGACGTTTCCTGCAACACTAACAATCCTGATACACACTGCCCTTTCAGCAGTCACTGAAACCTTGTCAGTACAGATAGCGAGAGTTTGCGTTAGCACAGCCACTAACACGTGTCAGCCACTGCGATTAACGAGCAAACAAACAACATAACCAATTAACTGCGCTTACCGTGCTGATACGTCTTCTAGTCGCCGATTTGGGTGCCTGAGTCTGGGTCTGACTGAGGCTCAAACATGTGGCTGAGTATCTCAGGTGTTTCCTCTGTTAATCTTAATCATCATCATCATCATCATCATCATCATCATCATCATCATCATCATCATCATACTGTTTCACCTGTTCGTTTGCGCGAGCAGCGGTGGTGGGCGGGGCATAAGGCCTGATCCAGATTTCTCAATGAAGAAGTAAGAGTAGATGTGCTTACAGCCCCAGTTTTTGATTATTTTGTTTAGGGAAAACCATGTTAAACAAAATCTTAATCATAGCAAAGTATTTTTACATAGTTTAAAACAGGAGAAGAACTTAAATAAAAAATCCTGAGCTGCTTCATAGACTGTGAAAAATGCAAAAACTCATAAGGTGAGCAAAACCCCAAACATCACCATCACCATGATCATCCATTATTGCACATTAAGAAGCTCCAATGACAAACTTCAGTCACCTCAAGCCTTGAGTCTAGACCAAAGACCATTTATTATTATTCAGGTCATTATTATTTCATGATTCTGTTTTCAGGTTTGACTCTTGTTTACCTCCTTCTTCCTCAGCACACTGGCGTTTACCCACTTGTGTCCAAGAGTATGCGACGCATCGCAGAAGGTAAAGACCCAGTCGATTGGCACGTCCACACTTGTGGTATGGCCAACATGTTTGCCTACCACAGCCTCGGCTACGACGACCTGGATGAGCTGATGAAAGAGCCAAAACCTCTCTACTTTGTCCTCGAGCTGCTCAAGGTGAGAGAGAGCAGAGACCGCACAGAGATTCACAGTGAGGAAGAGATGTGTGTCGCAGAGAAGCTGCGCTGGCAAAGAGAACGTAAAAATGATCAAATCTGAGGAACATCTGCTTGTGGGGGTGGTGATTACTGTAATACATCAGGACCATTTAATGCCAGTGACCATATTATTTTAAAGTGCCGTAACTTGTCCTTTATAGGTGCAGCAGCCCAGTGAGTACAACAGGGAGTCGTGGGCTCTGAATGATGAAGAGAGGCTGAAGGCTGTCCCTGTGCTGCATGGCCAGGGGAACAAGCTCTACAAACAAGGACGCTACCAGGAGGCCACGCAAAAGTACAAGGAGGCCGTCATCTGCATCAAAAATGTTCAGACTAAGGTGATTAAATGAAATAAGTTGCTCAAAACAGATGATTGTTTGCTTCTTTAAGACAATATGGGCAGCAGTCCACAAACATGGGATTTCCAGTATGTACTGACATGGATCTGAACTGTTTACCCCCTTCAGGAGAAGGCATGGGATGTCCCCTGGATGAAGCTGGAGAAGATGGCCAACACCTTAACCCTCAACTACTGCCAGTGTCTACTACGCATGGAAGAGTACTACGAGGTCATCGAGCACACCAGCGACATCATCAACCAGCACCCAGGTTTGGCATTGACACAGACTGATGATGGGGTGTGACCCTTTGATGATGGAGTTACGGTGACATTTTTAAAGCAGAAAAAGGTTGTGTTTTGTGTTAAGTACATCATTATGTTCCAGCTACCATAGCTGATTTATGAGTGTGAGAGACTGTCGTGCAGTGTAAGCATTACAGCCTCACAGTTTATTCAGCCTTTAACAAGTTGGTTATGTTTTTCACAGTGAGTGTGTGTGTGTGTGTGTGTGTGTGTGTGTGTGTGTGTGTGTGTGTGTGTGTGTGTGTGTGTGTGTGTATGTACATTTTTATGGTAGCTGTAAATATACAGTATGTCCAATGTGTATATAAAAGTCTTCCCCCTCCAAAAGGTCTGCTGCCTCTATTTCAACAATAACATGCACAGCCCATGTTACTATGTGCTCATATTGTAGATGCACATACAATAAATGTAACAGAAGTTGTTAAAATTATTCATTTACATACCTCACTTCAGTTAAGAACAGTCATCCTGCTCGTACTCTGCAGATGTCCCTCACATGAAAGGCTGCTGTCCAACATGTATGTGCTTGTATTTGGCCTGCAGGTGTAGTGAAGGCCTTTTACCTGCGAGGGAAGGCCCACATGGAGGTGTGGAACGAGGCGGAGGCTCGGCAGGACTTCAGCAGGGTGCTGGACCTGGACCCTGGCATGAAGAAGGCTGTCAAGAAGGATCTGGCTGTGCTTAACATGCGCATGGAAGAGAAGAACCAGGAGGACAGGGACAAGTACAAGGGCATGTTTTGACCAGGAGAGACTGCGGCTAATGCTGGAGAAGAGTGATGTTGTTAAATCACTACTCTCCATGCTTAATTTTACCATTAACCACCATTAAAATGACAAAACAATCCTGCTTTAATAAATCAGGAAGTTATATAAACCCCGCCCTTACAGCCTATCTTTCCTTTTTCCTTCAAACCATGACTGAGACAATTTATATAAATTAAATTAAGGACATTTCACTCTTATAATCTTATACAATGTGAACCTCAAAAGCTCATTACTTAACACAATATATGTTATTTGTCTAATCCAGGGGAAGTGGTGTTGTAGTATCCCTCTTATCTAACTCTCAAGGGGAAAAGCTAATTATTCCTTTAATACTACAATTATGATTTGTAATATTGTTTTGGAATATTTCACGTTAATGTGTATGAAAAACTCATCCAACCATTCATCTGTCCATCCCTGAATGATTGCCAGTAACAAATTGTTGGAACGACTTTGTATAAATGTGCCCTCTGTCAAAGACCTGAAGTAGTGGCTCTGTTGTTTCTTAAGTTATATTTATAGGTAGCAGTCATATAAAAGTCCCTTCTCTAGGTCTTGTAAGCACATTGCCCTTCCACAAGGTGGAGCTCTGACAACAATTATACCTCTGTTTCAACCTGAACCCTGTTGAAGAAAATATCCTGAGCCTATAAGCAGCCTTCACATCTTCAAGAGGAGTCTGGGGGCTTGTAAAGATAAATGATCTGGCTATCTACTATCTACTGCCTCTTTCCCATCATTCCTCATGTGCAAGTGCTTACTGCATAGTGTTTATTACAATGGGGGTGAGGTAAAGAGGAAAGTGAGAGATGGAAGGGAACAGAGTGAGTGTAATGCAAAGAGGGAGTTATGACTAATACATCTCCTCTCAGGGGTTTCCTGAAAGCCAGATCCAAACAAGGACAAATACATGCACTGAAATGCACCCGCACATTTGAATGCACTTGGATGGAATAATAGATCAACAGTAGCTACACCACATTCGCGTCAGTTTCATTAAGTTTCTATTCACCCATCACTACCAAAGGTCACAGTGCAGTGTAGCAATCACTCTGGGAAATGAGGCTGACGCTAATGCACCAGTCTAACGATGAGGAAAATCAATAGGAGAAGATCTAAGAAAAAAAAAAATCGTGACAAAACATTAAAGCCAGCGACCAGCCCATTACAACTACCTATTCTAATGCAGCTCTTAGTGTTTCCTGAGCTGAGGCAAGTAAATAAAAGAAACCCTGTGGACTTTCAATACAGCGCTTATCAGAGATCATGTGCAATTTATCTCAGGGGAATTATAGGCATTGTTATATTTTCTGATTCAGAGAAACATTTTATAAATCTGCACACCTGAATCCCCTCAGTGCCATTTAGAAAATTGACTTAGAAAGAGTTGATTTATGACGTCTTGTTGTGCCACTGGAAACCTCGTGCCGGACTAAAACAGACGGCTACAGTAAATTCTGCATAGCAGCACAATCCGCCGCTGGCTTTCCTGCATAAACCACTGGTGCTGATGTTGAGAAGAGGAGAAGAAAGGGGGGAGGAGGAGAGGGAAAGGGGGAGGGAGGGCGCTCATCGCCAGACTGCCCTGCTCCGACACGAGATGCGTCAAGATAGCGTCAGGGGGGCCAGTGTCGTGCCGGAAGTATGAAGAACGTGGATTCAAAAGAAAAATATCCCAATGTCAAATTTTGGTAGGAAGGAAATGAATGAAGTTGTATGATCTCTACACTGTGCATTTACTGTTACTGTTTTTAAACTAATGTTTTAATGATTCACTCTTCTATATACTGTATTCATTTGGCAAATGCTTTTGTTCAGAGAAACTTATTGTTTTCCTCATTCACATAGTTTACACTGGGAGTTATTTGGGGTTCAGTGTATTTATTTATTTATGCCACTTACTACAAAACTAGGGTACTATAATAGCATATGAATAATAATACGTTAATATAATAATACAAATATAAACACACACACACACAAACACAAACACACACATATATATATAAACCTTGTAATCCAGGACACCGAGTCCACTGATTTCCTATTAAAGGTTATTTCAGAGACCCTACAGCAAAGTCCCTGAGAACAACTGTGACTATATTATTATTGCTATTTAATTTAATTAATAAAAGTTAATTATTGTGACTTACTGTATATTCAAAAATCCCTTGTTGACAAATGAAGCTTTTATTTTGTGCTTCTTCACCGGAAGTGTTTTGTTCACATCTGGTAACTTGACGGTGGTCCCAAGTTGAGTAGAGTGGCTGTGCTGCTGCAGCGTGGAGACAGTGGGGGAGAGGAGGAGAAAGTGGCTCATTGTGGAGTCTGCTGAGAGAGAGACGCCTCACCTTCATTCTCCTTTCTTTGGAAAAGGAAAGCAAAACGTTCCGGCTACTTTTCCATGAACAGACAGACTTAAAGGAAAGTAGTGGGACTGGATCAAGACGGGCGGCAGGAGCTCCTCTGACTGCTTTGGATGTATCAGAGAGGAGGGGAGGTTTTCTGAGCTGATCCCCGTTGGAAATGAGTCAAACGGCGAATGTGAAGGAGGCTGAAGGAAAGTGATTGAAAAGGAAGAATGATAATGTAGAGGAATCTGCTTACATTTCCTCTCTGATTTTATTCATTTCTTTCAGGGGGTTGAGCCATTACATCCGAGCTTTCGGAGCACATCACCTTTCAGATAATCTCATTTTCATCCATCCGCCACACCTCGGCTGGTGATCACACTCCTGGTTGTTCAGTCGAATTTGATCCCAGCTCGACAGCTTAGTTCTACAAACTTGCATTCAGCTGTGGCCTATTATGGAATGCCGGCTGCTGACTTGTAATACATTTTAAAGCAGTTTTACAAAAATTCCCTTTCTGATACAATCTGTTATAAGTGAGAGTTGAACATGGCCATCAACACGGACACCGACTTCCAGAAGTCTAACTTGGGTGAGGGTGGAGGAGGCGTTCAGCATGCGGACTCCCAGGAGACGGAGAAACTGCTGGCGGTGACCACTGAGCCTGGAGGGAATGGGATGAAGATGTCCACCTCCTTCACGGTCAACATGGGCAGCGACAAAGCCCTGGAGGCCGACCAGAACGGCCACAGCGTGGCTGTGAGATCGGGCTCCGTCGGGCAGCTGGCCGCCGCCGCCCCCCTCTCCCCGTCCAAGGCCAGTCTGAGCCGCTCCTCCACCGGCAACGCTACCGTGCAGGAGACCCCGATGCCCAAGGATTATCTCATCCTCGTCATCATGTCCTGCTTCTGCCCCGTGTGGCCCGTCAGCATCGTCGCTCTGGTGTACTCCATCATGGTGAGTGTCACTTTACTGGATCACCAAAAACTACCAAATAACTAGCAAAAACTGTAGGAGATAAGGATGGAAAAGTAAATGTAGGTGGTGAATGTGATGGATAGACCACATGCTTGTTGATCGACGAAAACCATCATCTCAGCGTTGACACTGAGAAATAAGTAGCTGTCAGTCTATGGAGAAACCAGGACAAACTGTACTTTGTATTTATTTAAGTCTGTAAATTCAAACTTCATAAACCTGTCCTAATAAACAGGGATATTCATATAATATATTTGATGAGCATTATTATTATTATAAGTGTCACAATTTGAAAATATGTTTGACAATAACATAATCTGGTCCAGAAATGTTTGTAACTGGCAAGACAAATAAGGCAAGACAGCACCCAAAACTAGGCTACATTATTTCCCCAGTAATCTCGTATGGTTTTATCTTCTTATCTACATGTCATTTTTGATATTTGAAGGAAGTGAGAGTGATATTTAGTCTGATGGATGGTTGTCAAACTGCATGGGAGAGGAATATTCATCCTGATTCTAAATATCAACACATCAAAGTTGTTTTTCTGTGAAATATTAAAAAAAACAATAATAATATTAATAATGACAAGCTGTCCATCACAAGTTAACAGAGTGCAGGAGGATAATTCAAGGGTATTTGATTTACAATAATATAAAAAGGACACAAAGGGAGCAAATGCTTATATTTGAGAAGCTGGGATCAGCAAATATTTGGTTTTGGTATTGGATCAATTACGATTAATGATTCACTGATTATCAAAATAGTCGCTGAATCATTTTCTTTATCCGACTCATAAGTTGGACCCTCTGAAAAATGCGTCTTTCCTTTTTTATTGTCTGTGCCGTGTAAACGGTGTCTGTCTGCACCAGTCCAGTGTAAACATCTCCTTTCTTCCTCTGGGGGCTGCATTTATTTAAACATTTAGAGGGAAACAGTTATCAAAGCTGTTCCCAGCCTCACATGCAGTTGTGCAAATCTCAAAAGAAATACCGTTTCAGTTCATTTCAGGACAATGTCTTTTCTGAATACAAATATCCTAAGATTCCTCCAGATGTTGCTCATTTCATTGAAAGACAATTGATGTCTTCACCTCTGTAACTGTAGTAAGTGCAGTGCAGTTGGCTCTATGATTTCTGATAAACTCATGAATATCAGGGTTTGCTGGCACACGCACATACATACACACACACACACACACACACACACACACACACACACCTCAGTGCATCATCAGCTTTCTCAATGCCGCGGCTTTAAAGGATCTCAGGTCTGTTGCTGCCACTCAGCTGCCGGTTGTTCTGGCGTGGAGGCGCTGACCGGTGATTAATCCTTTCACTCTCTCACATCAGGCAGCCGCAGATGCTCAGTACGCTGCTACTGTACTCTCCATTTAGTGAATGTCTTCCAGGGACATATTCCTCAGTGGGTTTACAACATTACTTTCAAATCAACTATGGATCATGAGGACTCTCCACATGAGCCCAAAAACATCCATGTTGAGTCCAAACGGAAAACTGACACTTTGTTGTTGCCACCCTCTGCAGTGGTGAGAGGTCTGCAGTAAAAATGGGGGACTTGTTATTGAAGGCAGTTAGAGCTTGTATCTTATTTCAGTAAAACTTTAGAGAACGTCCCAGAAATCTGAGCGATAAATACAGACATGATGTGAAGGTCACGTGTGAACGAGCAGAGAAATTCTTTTTTTTTGTTTTCAACATTTATTTTTGGCACAACAAAAAAAAAAAAAACTACAGTTACTGTGCAGCTTTGATAAAGGAGGCTATACCTCATTGATGGTGACCCTCATTTCACTTTGGCACACACATACTGTTAATGAAAACTTACAACTTATGTCATCTGCCAGTGATATTGACGACACTAACAAAATGTGACATTCTGGCCTGTACGCTTAGTTTAACAGCTCCACATTCCCTCCTCAAATTACACCGGTGCAAGTTGATGAAACAAAACCTCCTGCAAGAGGAAGCTCCTACAAAAGCTGTAGAAGACAGAGTGTGACATGACTGATCCACGTCAGCTTACCAGCACTGTACTTCACTATGTCAGTATGTCCATACTCCCACCCCTCTGAGTTTGAAACTCCTCCATCTTGATTGACTCCGTCAGGGTT